GTTGTAGACGAACGCTTCCAGAACAGCCACCAAACTTTTACGATTAGTTCGGAGCAACCGTGATACACGCTCGACGATAGCTGCCTTCGATGCAGTCACTTCCGTAGCCTAAAATGAGCTCATCGGAACTGCCGTGTACATAACTTTAGTGGGAGGGAAAACATTCGCCCGCTCTTCCTAACTAGGGAAGCTCGTCATCTCGAAGTGGCATTTGTAATGAGATGTAGCTCACTAGACGTGGTTTTGGACACTGATCTCGAAACTGCCTCTAAAAAATTTGCAAAGCGATTCTCTGAACGGAGCTATGGAGTTCTTCCCTCCGCGTTTACCACGCAGCAGGTCATGGGATCGGATTACTGCTGAGCCTAACTTTTTTGCTTCAGCGCAAACGTGGCAAAAAATGATTGTGGCTTCGCTCCTACATTAGCGCTCTCCTTGACTTGCCTGAAACAGTTTGTGTTCGCTTACTGGCAAGCTTAGCGCATCGTTATCTAGGAGAATTTTAGCATGCACAGGTGCCCTTGGCGCGCAGTGCAGAAGTTTTCGCGCTAAGCGAGTGCCATATTCGTATTTATGGGGGCGAACTAGAAGCTTTAGGTAGAGAGGTTTTTAGCCAATATCTGCCATTTTGACCTGACTTCGAAAAGTGAAGCATCCATGGGTTAGTTCAGTTGATGTTCACACCTATTCAGCTGCAGATACATTCTCCTGCACGAAGCCTCGTCTTGCACTCTTCTTGTGCGGTATCTAAAAGCAAATTCCGTCCAAATACAAAAAATCGACAAGAGACTGGCCCCAGAACTATTGGTGACCATCGTGCCATCAACTGCTACCGCACTTTTCAAAATTAGGTCAAAACCTCACATCTGGCTAGGAACCTATCCCCAAGGGTATTTTGCTCCCTGAACACGAATATGACACCCATTTGGCATTTGAGTGTTTTCTATACTCAAAAGAGACATTCCCACAAAATGCAAAAGAACTTCCCTTCCAGAAATGCGAACCCTTCATGGCATGCCCCCGAAGCAAGACCATTGCCACTACACCATGCCGCCTTTGAACGTAGGAATTCTTCCTGGCTATTCATGCGAACCGGCTGACAACCGCGCTCGACTCCGTTTTCCTTCATTTTGATTCTAACGAGCCATCATAACTCCGTTCAGAGAATCGCTTTGCAAATTTCGAAGGCAGATTCGAGATCAGCGTCCAAAACGACGTCCCCAAAACGACGTCTAGTAAGCTACATCTCATCACAAATGGCCACTTCAACCTGACGACTCTCCCTAGTAAGAAGCCCCTTGAAAAAAAGAGAAGCGCAACACGTCCCCTTACCAGGGAGATCATTCACGACGTGGAGCGTTTTTTGAACACGGCTTTTTACATGATGTGGAGTCACTTGCATAGAGTGCCAAACTGATGTTCATTTCTCTGAACGCCTCTGGGCAGTACCAAAAAGGAGTGAAAAAGAAGTTCATGGAAACCGACTTTTTGAGTCTCAGCGAGCTTTAAATCACTTGCAGCTTTGATCAATTGCTGAGTGGAGGGTAATTAAAAGGTACTACAGGAATCCACGAACAAAATAGTAGCAAATGAGGTCTTATTTGCGGTAAGTGATTGAGAGTGGGCGCCTCTGAGCGGCTCGCCGGAATGGTTTCTTCAAGATCCGTGCGGTGTTCAGCAAGAAGGATCGGAAATCTTGTTGGATAGCGTGGAGGATCCTCAATCGGACAGGGAAGGTGGGAGTTGATGGTTGAACTCCCCTCGGCTGGCGAGTTCTTTCATTTTTTATGTTCAGCTGTTCTCGCTTTCATATGAGACTGTTTATAGATTTTGAATATCTACCATTTATGGGCATAGTCCGAGTTATACCCCATGTGTCGGTGCTATTCAACAATTTCAGTTTTCACATGCAGCTATAAGAATATTGAGTAAGAGTTTTTCTGGAAGTTGATCTTTATATGTTATTCAGTGGCCTGATCACGACAATGGAGCCACGTCTATCTACCACTGGACTCGCTATGTACACTCGTGTGAGAGACATTCAGGGCCATTTCTGACGCCAGAAGGCTTTGACGCCAGGATAAGTTTCAGAATCGTGGTCAGGACCAACGATTACCCCTATAGGCAAACTTTCAACCAAAAAAAAATTCTTTTGAACTTTCTCGAGATGTGAAAGACCCATTTGGCTACCAATAATGACCGATTCACACCTTCGGAGCTGTGTCGATGCACCGATGATGTGGTGGCCCGCATGGCAGCCGTATCGCCTATTTGTGCTGCCATAAGTCCATTCCGTGATAGCCGCAAGAACAAGTGAAAAGCTTCCCCTGGACATTTGGTCGACTTCAACGACATGCTACCTCTAACAAAAAAGTATTGTCCTTCACACATTGCCAAGAGAAGAGGCTCATCCAATCTCCTCCACTTTTTCGAATACTCCTGCAGAAGTGATGACCACCTTCTTCTTCTTTCCGTGACGTTTATTGCTTTTTATATTGAGTTTTATGGTTCTGTACCACTGAACGGGAAGGTTTCAGTAATCAGAAAAGTGCAACTTCTACAAGAATGACTTTGGGGCATAACCCAATACACACCCAAATGAGCCGAAAGTTTGCTTATAGGGATAATCATTGGTCTTGATCATGATTTTGGCACATATTTTCGGCCGTCCTCGCATTCTGGCGTCAAAATGGCCCTGAATGTTCCTCAAATGAGTTTACATAGCAAGTCCAGTGATAGAAAGACGTGGCTCCAAACTGGCGCGATAAAACAGCTGAAATTGAATGCCATTGTCGTGATCAGGCCACTGAATAACATATAAAGATCAACTTCCAGAAAAACTCTTGCTCAATAGCATGTGAAAATTGAAATTGTTGAATAGCACCGACACATGGGGTATAACTCGGACTATGCCCATAAATGGTAGATATTCAAAATTTATAAACAGTCTCATATGAAAGCGAGAACAGCTGAACATAAAAAATGAAAGAACTCGCCAGCCGAGGGGAGTTCAACCATCAACTCCCACCTTCCCTGTCCGATTGAGGATCCTCCACGCTATCCAACAAGATTTCCGATCCTTCTTGCTGAACACCGCACGGATCTTGAAGAAACCATTCCGGCGAGCCGCTCAGAGGCGCCCACTCTCAATCACTTACCGCAAATAAGACCTCATTTGCTACTATTTTGTTCGTGGATTCCTGTAGTACCTTTTGAATTACCCTCCACTCAGCAATTGATCAAAGCTGCAAGTGATTTAAAGCTCGCTGAGACTCAAAAAGTCGGTTTCCATGAACTTCTTTTTCACTCCTTTTTGGTACTGCCGGAGGCGTTCAGAGAAAATGAACAGCAGTTTGGCACTCTATGCAAGTTGACTGCCACATCATGCAAAAAGCGTGTCAAAAAAAAGCGCTCCACGTCGGAATGATCTCCCTGGAGACCGTGTTGCGCTTCTCTTTTTTTCAAGGGGCTTCTTACTAGGGAGAGTCGTCAGGTCGAAGTGGCCATTTGTGATGAGATGTAGCTCACTAGACGTGGTTTTGGACGCTGATCTCGAATCTGCCTTCGAAATTTGCAAAGCGATTCTCTGAAGGAGTTATGATGGCTTGTTAGAATCAAAATGAAGGAAAACGGAGTCGAGCGCGGTTGTCAGCCGGTTCGCATGAATAGCCAGGAAGAATTCCTACGTTCAAAGGCGGCATGGTGTAGTGGCAATGGTCTTGCTTCGGGGGCATGCCATGAAGGGTTCGCATTTCTGGAAGGGAAGTTCTTCTGCATTTTGTGGGAATGTCTCTTTTGAGTATAGAAAACACTCAAATGCCAAATGGGCGTCATATTCGTGTTCAGGGAGCAAAATACCCTTGGGGATAGATTCCTAGCCAGATGTGAGGTTTAACCTCAATTTTGAAAAAGTGCCGGTAGCAGTTGACTGGCACGATGGTTACACAAATAGGTTCTGGGCCAGTCTCTTGTCGATTTTTTGTAGTTTGACGGAATTGCTTTAGAATACCCGCACAAGAAGTGCAAGACGAGGCTTCGTGGGCAGAGAATTGTATCTGCTGCTTGAATAGGGAGAATATTCACGAACTAACCCATGGATGCTTCACTTTTCGAAGTTAGGTCAAAATGGCAGATATGGCTAGAAACCTCTACCTAAGCGTAGTTCGCCCCCATAAATACGAATATGGCATTCGCTTAGCGCGAAAACTTCTGCACTGCGCGCCAAGGGCACCTGTGCATGCTAAAATTCTCCTAGATAACGATGCGCTAAGCTTGCCAGTATAGCGAACCCACAAACTGTTTTCAGGCAATGTCAAGGAGAGCTGCTAAATGTAAGGAGCGAAGCCCACAGCCACAATCATTTTTGCCACGTTTGCGCTGAAGCAAAAAAGTTAGGCTCAGCAGTAATCCGATCCCATGACCTGTTGCGTGGTAAACGCGGAGGGAAAGAACTCCATAACTCCGTTCAGAGAATCGCTTTGCAAATTTTTAAAGGCAGATTCGAGATCAGCGTCCAAAACCACGTCTAGTGAGCTACATCTCATTACAAATGCCACTTCGAGATGACGAGCTTCCCTAGTTAGGAAGAGCGGGCGAATGTTTTTCCTCCCACTAAAGTTATGTACACGGCAGTTCCGATGAGCTCATTTTAGGCTACGGAAGTGACTGCATCGAAGGCAGCTATCGTCGAGCGTGTATCACGGTTGCTCCGAACTTATCGTAAAAGTTTGGTGGCTGTTCTGGAAGCGTTCGTCTACAACCCAGTGATAAGCTGGCGACTGCTAGAGTGTTGGTGCTTCTAATCTCTTTACCATCCTTTGTAAATCCTTTCATTTACCGGCTTTGTAGATTTATTGGTTGTTTTCTATTTATATTGTCCCGATTTATCAGCCGAGTATGGTAATAGTTTCTAACGGCGAATTTCAGTTAGTGAGCGGCCACTGGGCATTTTATAATACAATCTATCAAAACAAAATGCTTTAGGAACGAGGCCGTACCTGATGAGAAGCATGACGTCACTCGAAGGAAGACGCTACACAAAGCGCCGAATCGTTCGAGAACATGTCATCAACAGAATTGAGCACGAAATAGCCGGTAAGTCCTTAATTTCTTGACGACGGTGGTAACTAGTAACTTGTAGAAGTCAGTCTCGGCCAACTGAGTAGTACTTCCATACTCTTGTTCAGGTAGCGAATTCGAAGTGGACATACATGAACAAATTGATCGCTTTGTTGAGCAAGCAACACTTCATGGGAATCTTTGCCAATGTTATATAGGATGGTGCCATTCTGCTGGTGCAACAACTGCTCATTTTGTCGTTGCTTTTTTTGTGGTAAGTATATCTTGAACCCAACCGTTCGCCATCTCTCTTTAGAGATATGAGTATCAAAAGTCATTGAAGTCAACTTGTCCTGGTAACCAAGTACCAGTTAATGTTGTGCAATTGATGTACCTAAGAGAGAATCGGTATCTGTAGTGTTCGTAGTAACTGCTTCTTTATCAAGTTGTTAGGGAATCAAAGCAGTTGTTTTATATTGTTAGTGGATACTCAAGTGAACGATTACATTCCTAGGTGGGCTTTCGCTTTTTTGGAAAATATTATTTTGGTGCGTTGGTGCGTGAAGTTGTGCGTTACTTCTTGTGACCCGCAATTGCATAGCATAGCTAGCTGGAAAATCTCAAACTGCTTCACGAACATGACAGGATCTTTCTCGCTCAGCCGTGCTGGATGTTTACTTCACGAGAATACGAAAAAAATTCACGGTAACTATTGGTAATAGTCTAAAAAGGTGCAAAAGTTCATGGGCCACCGGTGGCTTATGTTGTCCTACTTAGCTCTCGCTTATGGGAAATCGGTGGCTCATGATGTCGACAGCACCCGAAATGCTATTATGGTAAGTGGATGAGGGAAGGTAGTCGATAATGAGCACCAGAGTTTCATTCCAAACTTTTTCCGCTGCCTTTGTGGGTCTCCCATTGAATAGTGGACATAATAAAGTGAAGTATCGCTTTGTTATAATAAAGTACACACGATTCGTGAAATGTGGGCTGAATAAAAGCAGTGGGAGCAGTGGAGGATTATCATCAACCCGTGCACGGTCGCTTGTGCTTTCTCCACGCTATCAGCATCGAAGGATGAAATTGGTCACCTTGGCTTCTTCTACTGTGCATAGCTCATTCAGTAATGGGAGATGATTGTCAAGTCTCCCATTCGACATTCGGAGTGTACAAAGGGAAGTTCCCTCGCAATCCGTTCAGAAGTCACTTCATGAACTTTGTACGTTATCTCAAAATGATCAGTTTTCTCAGAAGGCTATTGTGATTTCACTATTAAGTGAACAATTTGCAGAAGGATTCTGACTTGGTCAAACAATTAAGGATGCAGATAGATGGTGCGTCTTTCGACGTTATTGAGATTCAGAAGGTATGTGTCGTATCAGTTTGTGAACTGCAGATACCTTTTACATTGCTCCCTAAGGGCAAACTGTACAACCATCTCCGAGGACGTCCTTTGCCATATGCGAGGAAAATGGGTTGGCAGCAGTGCCGTCCCAGGAATAGTTCGTGATGGCGAATCCCGTCCTCCTCCCTACATTCCTCACCTTCCTTCTTTTCCTCCCGTCACTGCCTCTCTTTCCTCTTGATTTTGCCTTCCCTTCGAATGCATTTAACAGAATGCACAAATTCAACAAATGATTGTAGAGAAGAATACCTCTGGATCCTCGACCGAGAGAATGCTGGTTAACAGAAGACTAGAAACCGCAGCCGTGCAAGTGTAACAACTTTGTCACATGACCGTGCGGGGAAGTAAGTGAAAGGCCTCCTTAGGAGTTCTGCCGCCTTGGGGACTCCGCCTACCGTTCTCATTGCGCTCAAAACAATGAGTGAACACGCAGTCAAAGTCAGAGAACAACCAGACGTGAGAGTTCGCAGGCAAGTAGCGCGTTCGGCCATGACTGGGCGTGCGACGACGCAGGAGCAGTCCGGAATGATACCCGAGTATCATTGAACTCTGGATCCGTTCTGTGCATCCTTAAGGAGGGGGGGGCAGGGTACGGCGACATGCTGGAGCTGTGGATTATTCGTCCACATGTGACTAAATCCATCGAAATATGTCACGTTGGCGGACGTGGCGAGCGACACCATACTGAAAAGACAATTGCGGTGCCTCTTGAGTTTCAGTGTTCGAGATCTTCTATTGCATAGTTCTGTGATATCTCCATTTTCAGGCCGACAATTCTAGACACTACATGACAATTGGCAGTGATGCAAAGGCGAAGCCAATTCACGAAGAGGAGTTTGCCGCCTATGCTAACAAATGTGGCAAAATCTGAGAAATGTGCCTACTCCGTTCAGAGAATATGAGGCATGACTGCATTTAATCACTGAATGCAGAGTAAATCATTTTTCGCACCAATCTTATGGCAATAATTTCACATATTCAAGTTCATTACATTTCAATCAGACGAGGCAGTTCCCCTAAATCGATTAGCAACCAATTACAGTTGAAGGGGCAGAGCAGCCGAGCGGCTCGCCCCTTCAACTGTAATTGGTACATAACACTTTCGCTGCTTCTCCAGATCCAGTTTACAAGTCGTAATCTGCTCAAACCTGTGACTCTCGTAGAGCTGGACTAAGCTTGTCCACTGATCATGGTAAAACCTGTCAACTCTTGTGAGTTCTCAGTACAGCTCTTTTGATGGGTAGCGTCGCCGGGACGCGGTAAAAGTGCAAAATGCACCCCTGATTTTGCTGAGAGTGATTGCGTTAGGAGTGAAACGAAAAGTAAGTTTGGAAATCCAAATATTTCACAAGAACCGTGGGTCAAGTAGACTACGACATAACAGATATGTATTGCTACTTTTGGCTGTACATTACTTATTGTTGTATTGTATTGCACTGTTATTGTCTACGACCAAGAAACACCGGTGTTTGCTGGTGCGACGCGTGGCGATTTAACATAGTCTCGCCACATACTCACTTTCTCCCTCCGTCAGAGTGAACTAAAATTATCATAGAGTCGAAACACGCTCGTCTTGCCACATTCCCACCGCTCCCCCGTCGACTCCGTTGCCGTAAACAGAAAGTGTCATCACAGAACCGCGAACGGGCCATTGAACAACGATAGGTCGGGAGCCTAAGTGAGTTGAAGATTTGACGGTTTCGTGTGCAACAAAGCGAGCATGAGCCGACGAATCTCCATTGGTGCTGTTGCTAGCTTGAGATGATCTGAACAATGACCGCATTACATCGTGGAACACTGAAAGGATTATGGGCGCAGACAGTTGAGGGGGTGTCACACTGCGGTAAGCTGCTACATGTCTCAATAAGAAAACATAGATGATATTATATGACACGTTCGAGGCGGCGTGTATACTACGGGGAGTACACAACAAACTTCTCTTCGGCGAATCGTGCGCAGTCGTCATCCTGGCAGTTGATTAAAGCGGCAAGTCGCGAGGCGGCTGCGGCTTGTTATGAGAGCTTCAATCAGCTGTCTCCTGCCTATTCTAGCCATTTTCTCCCTAATTTGCACTATTTTGGTTGCTTTTCTCAGACTAGTTGTTCCTTGTCTTCACGAGGTAAATTATGATTAACACACTGACGACGCGTGATAAGCATTGAATGCACACTTTGTGGGCCACGTGGGACCACGTGCATTGAATACGAATCACTATCAACAAATCCATATCTTCACTAGTGCATGATTTTGGTTTAGTTTCTCCTATTCATTCTACAGTTCACCTCTTATGGTTAGTATACTCGTACAGCGCGTATTGCAATAATTCAGTGACACTCATAGAGGATCCTGCGATCTCTATTTCTTAGTTTTACACTTCCAATGTGAACTGCTCAAATAATTGGGAAGATGGGCGCGCCATGCTCACCAGTTTGGTCCATCCCAGCGAAGCTTAAAGACACATGGTACGATCACACATAGTTTGGGTGTGCGTGACTAATTGCCCCCAGCTGTCGAAGCGTAGCGGTTTCCCCGTCCTAACATGCGCAGGAATGGAGATACAGGACTATACTTTTTGCGGAGGCAGATTCCGCGTTATTGCAAGCATCCCGTCGTATGGTGCGCTGTGCGGCGTGCGGCTCCCTGGCTTATTGCCAAGTCCTCTAATTGCGCTTTGGAAAACACGCAAAACACAATTCCATGATGTGGATAACATTTGAGGTGCTGCAAACTTAGAGCCGAAGATGATGACGAGGGGCAGACCTCAAGAGCAACTGTGCTGTGAGTGGATTCCTGCCCAACTAGTACGAACGGAAATCTGTGTCAATTCTGCTAAGAGTAATCATAGGTCCAGCGACTGCAGAGCAACTGAAAAGAACTGTTGGTACTGTGACAGAGTCTGCGGCACAGCTCTCGGCTTCCTGATATATGATGACCGTGGGCATCACAGAGCCCTGTGCAATCCCGGACTACAAGGACAAGATCACGGAAAGGATCAAGAGAAGTCAAGGAAGAAATAAACAATATCAAGTATCAATAAGCGGCGCCCGGAGTGTAGCGAAAACGCTACCTCTCATACAATATGGTAAACTTTATTCAAGTGTTCAAGTTCATTGAGTTGTGTTGGTCCTCAGTTATGTTTGGCTTACTCATTCATTGCAGAATAATCGTCATTCAATTTTCCGCCAAGATATCGGTCGAATGGTCGAAAGTGCAAGATCGCGCGGGAAAGAGCCCTATTAAAGGGTGACTCTTAGCAGGGACCGGCCTCTGCGCTCTGTTCTCATAGATCCATAAAAAATATCCGTTGCACATCAATATTCAGTATTCGGTACTATAAATACAAGGTTAACAAGGTATTCTAGTTGGTATTCTAGTTATTCCACTAACTGATGGTGTTGGATAATAAACTAATTAGTCTTTCGTCTTCAAAGGGCATATACTCAATATCATCAATATCCAATAATATAACTGAATCAATATCCGCGTGGTCAGTGGACTCAAGAGACTGAAAGGCGAGCTTCACCAAACCCCCTTACCCCCAAACCTCATGGGATGTCAATCGAACACATGGAGGATTGCTTACGCGATCTTTAGACTTTGAAAGCTCTGTACGAATGGTATGAAGTTCATCGTGTCCTCGAGCAGAGAGAGTCCATTGGGCAACTCTTGCACGTTGCAGGGACGAATGGAGACGTTACTGGCGCCCGCTCGAGGAACTCGATGATCAACGGGAGCACAGGTGGTGCAGGAACATGATTAGGAACAGCATGGTGGTCCCCATACATAATACCAGACAGCTCGCCGGCCGACGCCGGCGCGCCTCCTGTGATACGGCCCGGTTTTGACACGCGTACCTTCTTTTACGTGTTTGGATATACGACAATTATCCGACATTTCTTCCATCTGTACACCTTCATTCAATATTTGTTATTTTAGGATAAATAAAAATCTGCACACATGTTCAACACTCCTTGACCAGCAACGTCACAC